TTTGTCTCTTTCTGCATAAGCAAAGAGACATAAGTAAAAAAGAAACAACAGTATGTTTATGAATTTACCGTCAAGATGGATCCTAAATTCTACCCGTAGACAATAGCCAGACATCTATGTTATATTTATAAATCTATGGATGAGTGCCATGTAATAGGGGGTGTGCCTATTGCCTCCGTGCTACTACTGAATTTTTTTTAAAACTCAGTAATGCTTTGCCTGACCGGGTACCTAACGAATCCGAGACTCCTTGCCCGGCAGTCGCACTTGCGACCACTCGGCCAACGAGGCAGTCATATTCAGTAACTAAATTATAATTTAGTAATAGTCAATAGTCATATTCATAAAGTCCCATCTCTATCTATGTGACGACATCTCGCTCGTTTCAAATTTTGATCACTTGAATACAATTCAATCCATTTTGATAAGGTGATTGTGAGGCTGAGGCGTATGGCTCTGCGTAATATTTATTAAAGTACATATAAGCATAAAAGTATAGAATAAAATAATGAACGATGAAAAGCAACCACTGCTCACTGGACCTAACAATTCAATTGAAAGTGTTGAACAAACAGTAGAATTAGTGACAGATCCAGTATCGCCTTTGAGTAATAGTGAAAAACCCAAAGGAGACTATCACCCGGCGTCGGAAAGATGTTTGGAGCACCCAACTTCCAACTTCGATACTTTAATCCACCTTTTAAAAGGAAATATAGGAACTGGAATTTTAGCAATGCCAGATGCTTTTAAAAATGCTGGCCTAGTGCTTGGTGAGTATTGATAATTTTTAGTTTGTTTATAAATATTAACTGTTAAGAATAATTGATGGAAATTAATAAATACTGAGACGATTTTATTTTGTAGAAGCAGAAAATATTCGTATATGTCACAAACATACTTTCACTAGTATAAAATAAATTAAATATAATTATACATGTGACAAAACTAACTACCCTAAATAAATTTTGTTAAATAATTGTGGTGGTTAGTTACTTGATTGAAATTAGCTAACAATTTGACTGTTGGATAACAATAATATACCTACTATTTGTATTTTTTTATTAAGTTTTGTGATCTATTTTAGTTTTTTAATAAACCTGAAATTAGTTCTAACAAAATTTTATTAACATTACAACTAATCCTCCAAATATTCAATGGTGTAAAGAGAGATCAAACAATAGATAAACTCTATAAAATACAGGCATGAGAGAATTTGAAAAAATCCCCAATATTGCTTTAAGACTGACTCAGGAACCCAATTACTGAGCACAGCTCAGATATTGTAATTGTTGTAATCTACATTTGTGTCATAATAACTAAAATGTTGTTCTTGCTAGGTGTGTTTGGAACGCTAATCATGGGTGCAATATGCACACATTGTATGCATATGCTAGTGAAATGTTCACATGAGCTCTGCATCCGCAGTCAAAAACCAGCACTAAGTTTCTCTGAAGTTGTAGAAGATTCCTTCGCATCAGGACCTGTTTCTTTAAGGCCATATGCTAAAACTATGAAGTAAGTGGCATAATTTATAATGTTTTGGTTTAAGCTAAATAAAATAATTTTGCTTTTATACTCTGTTTAACAAACTGTTTTTTTTTTGTTAATGATATAAAATAAACATGGAAGAATTGTAATTATTTGCCTATTTTATGTTTTTAATTATCAAGTTTTGCTGGAGTATAGTTAGGAGAAAAGTTGAAAAAAAATATATAAATATTATACATAATTGCTGCTGAAAATAATATATTATGCTAAATCTAAAATAATACTTGATATGATGTTGTTAGGCAAATCATTACTTTTATTATGTAAACCGACATAGGGTAATCTAATCAGCTCACCACTTGCTTTGCTTATTACACTATCTACTGCATATATATTTATATTGATTGCACAAGCAACTGAATACCCATGTTCCATCTCAATACATAAAACAATGTAGTTGAATAATCAGTATTAGCAGATAAATTAACTGTTAGGTATGTAGAAAAATCTATACTTAGATGTACAACAGTTAAGTTTAATTAAATAATTTTGTAGTTAAGTAGGTATATACAGTGAAATTTTCCTATTCTATTAATTAGGTCTATTGGTTATCATGTAGGAATATCGCTCACAAACAATTAATATATTTGTCTTAATTATACAATTGAGATTGGAATAGCAAACAATGTGTCTTGATAAGTAGGTATGTTTTGAGAAATTTCCTTATCTTTTCATCTCAATTAATTAAACAATTTAAATTATTTCCATTAAGCTTATATAATATTTACTTTACAGTATTTAAGGAGTTATTGAACCTTTCCGAGATAATGTTTTTTGGTGGTACTTATTGTAGATAATAGTTAAAATCAGGGTGCATGTCTGGCATGAGTACTTATACTTTTATAATTTAATGCAGGTCTGTATAACAATACTTATGACAATATATATTGTTTCAGGAATATTGTCAGTGTATTTTTGGTAATAACACAAATGGGATTTTGCTGTGTTTACTTTTTGTTTGTGGCCACTAACCTTCAAGATACAATGCGTTTTTTTAATGTTAACTTAAATGTACATGTGTACTTGGCTTTATTATATTTACCAATATTTGCACTGGCTATGGTGAAGAACTTAAAGTATCTCTCACCAGTCTCCCTGGTTGCCTCCATAATGACTGCTTGGGGCCTTGTGATAACATTTTACTATATACTTCAAGATTTGCCTCCTACACGTACTGTGAAAGCATTCTCTAGTTGGCATCAGATACCTTTATATTTTGGTACAGCTATATATGCATTTGAAGGAATAGGAGTGGTGAGTTTACTTTGTTTTATCATTTGTTTAATTTGCACATTCTAAAATGTTACTTCATGACTGCACTGGTTAGTCTGTTTACTAGGAACACCGGTCATTGAACTGCCAGCTTACAGTAGTGGTGATATATTATAAGTATGTAATGTAACCAATTTACAATCGTTTAAACAAATGCACACAAGGACGCGTTAGTTTTGTAAAAATTGTCCCTTGTTAGCATGCTTATTAATACGCCGCTAAATATATTCTTACAACATGAATAGTAGGTAGGTGTATTACCTACATAACTAATAACAATAGCAGCCATGAACTAGTTCTGATTGTCTGTAAAGTATATTATTTTCATGAGCTACATGCTATGCGCATTTACGTACATAAAATTGAAGTTGATCTCTAAAAATCAATACTATTGTGGAAATCTACAATTCATTCATATATTAATTACCTTCTACGGTTGTTCTTGCTTCTACGGTTCTACCATAATTATATTTAACACGGTGTTTATGCTTTTTAAATTTATCTCAGTAGAGAACCACGACAAATGCAACCAACCGCAAAAACGTAGTCGGTCGTTGAGACGCAAATAGGGGAAAGTAACGATGATACGAAGTACCTACAACAGCTAGATCTATCCAGATCTTGTAAAAGTAGGTCCGTGTTGTTACTAGATACTGTCCAACGCCTATATGATTGACCTCACTAGCTGTTCGCGTGGCAGATCCAAGCTTCGTCACCAATGAGCCGTTTCGACCCGAGTGATACGTACGATACGGATAGCCTTACAGAATACAGGCGTGGTTCACAGTGTGGGTGAGATGTTTCATCTCCAAAAGGCTCACATTATCATCATTAAATGATAGATTTTTATACTGCACTAGCGACCCGCCCCGGCTTCGCACGGGTGCAATATGCATGTATTATACATACAAACCTTCCTTAAGAATCACTCTATCTATTGAAAAAAACCGCATCAAAATCCGTTGCGTAGTTTTAAAGATCTAAGCATACATACGGACATACAGCGAAAGCGACTTTGTTTTAT